AACTGGGGCCCATATGGGATTCCTGGCACTTTGCAAGGATGTAACCACTGAGCCATTGCACCGGGCCCCGTGTCTTTCTTTTTATCCCCAGGTCCCTAGCAGTTGGCCGGAAGAAGCTGTTTGTGGTAGGACTCCCCTACACATGAGCAGGTGGTCGATGGGAGACCAGGGTGGAGATAGGAGGTGGGGGTATGGGGAATGGATGGGTGGGTGAGTGGGTGGATGGATGGAGAGAAGGGTGAGTGGATAGGTGGGTAGACAAATGGGCGATGGATGGATGGAAGAGTGGATATATGGATGGATGGATGGATGGGTGGGTGGATGGATGGGTGGGTGGGTGGATGGATGGATGGATGGATGGGTGGGTGGGTGGATGCAGGTGGCCAGATGGGCTTGGCTGGGTGTGTGAGAGGAGAATGGAGGTTTGGGGCTGGAAAGGAGAGAGGGAATGAGGCAGGGCGGTGTGTCCATGAGTTGGGATGGAGTGTTTGCGTACCGAAGGGCACACTGTGCTGGCGGTTGAAGTGCCAGCCCAGGCCAACGGGCCAAGGACTGCTCTCACAGCTGCTGAGCACATCCCCCTGGCTGGGGCCCCATGGCTCCGTGGCGGCACGCACTCCCTGCCTGCCCCCTTCCTTCAATCCAATCCCGGCCGCCTGTGGACTTCTCCATTATACTGCTGCTGGGGTGGCTGCAATTTTCTTTCAGGACTGAGACAACACCGCTGCTGCCTGCTCCTCCTCCTCCTCCTCCTCGGCATCTTGTGACTGTAGGGACATGGGGACACGAGGACACGGGGACAAGCAAAGAAGAGACAAGAGTTAGGCCTAACAGGCAACGCTGGGCACCCCAGCCATGGACTCAGCCACCGTGCCAGCCTCTGTGTCTCTTCTCCAATGTGGTTGAGTCCAGCGGTGTTGGAGAGTAGGGAAAAAAAAAAAGTCAAGCTTTGGGAACATTTGCATATGCGTAATGAGATTTTGGGGAGGGGCCCCACATCACGTCTAAGCAGAAAATTAGTTTTGTGTTTCACGGAGCGCTAACACGTTGCCCGAAGGTGATTGCACGCAGTGTGTGAGGGAACTGTATGCATGGCAGACATTTGGTGCTGTGGAGTCTGAAGTGATGTCATGTGGGCAGGGCCTGAAGGCTTGTGTTCTAGAATGTTGCAGACTTTTCTTTAAGGAAATATTTCTAAGAGCGGCTGGCATGATGGCTCAACAGGCTAAACCTCCACCTGCACTGTCAACATCCCGTATGGGCGCCAGTTCGTGTCCCAGTGGCCCCACTTCCCGTCCAGCTCCCTGCCTGTGGCCTGGGAAAGCAGTGGAGGACGGCCCAAAGCCTTGGGACCCTGTACCTGCGCGTGGGAGACCTGGAAGAGGCTCCTGGCTCCTGGTTTTGGATCTGCTCAGCTCCGGCCGTTGTGGCTGCTTGGGGAGTGAACAAGGGGACGGAAGATCCTTCTCTCTGTCTCTCTGTAAATCTGACTTTGCAATAAAAATAAATCTTACCAAAAAACTATTTCAGAGGCAGAGATATCTTCCATGCACTGGTTCACTCTCCATATAACTACAGTCATGAAAGCCAGGGCTGGAACAGGCAGGAGCCAGGAGCCAGGAGCTCCATCCTGGTCTCCCACGTGGGTGGCTGGGACCTAAGAACTTGGACCCGCACCACCCCCAACCCCACATCCCTGTGTCTGTCTCAGTAGTTACAGCTGGGACTCTAACCCAGACTCTGACTCCCCTGCGTGGGGGACTGGACTCAGAAATGCTTGCTAAGATTGCAATCTTTTCTCCTGGGCTGTTGGTCTTTCCAGGAGAGAAGGAGAGACAGAGGGGAAGATCTTCCATCCAATGATTCACTCCCCAAGTGACCACAATGACCGGAACTGTGCTGATCCGAAGCCAGGAGCCAGGAACTTCCTCCAGGTCTCCCACGCGGGTGCAGGGTCCCAAGGCTTTGGGCCGTCCTCCACTGCTTTCCCAGGCCACAGGCAGGGAGCTGGATGCGAAGTGGAGCTGCTGGGATTAGAACTGGCGCCCATATGGGATTGCAGTAGGCCACAGTGCCTGGCCCATCCTACAACACTTGCGATGACACAGATCTGGGTTCTGGTTGTGCCATCCTGCTCTGATCAACCCATCGTACCCCGAGGCTTGGTGAGGGGGGCACATCTGTCCCAGGCAACACGGCTGACTAAACCAAGAGCTGGAATTTGGGTCAAGTAGGTGGGAGCCACGGAGGGTGCCTGCTGCAAAAGGCTGGGAACAACTGGGCGGTGGGGAGGGGAGGGAGGAAGTTGGAGGAAGAGGGGGCTGCCTCCCCTGCCTGGGCTGTTTTCTTTTTCCAGTCCCAGGGATAGGGACACCTCCTCCTGGAAGCCCCCTGTCCTTGTCTCCTTAGCCCGTGTGCCCCCACTGTGCCCTGGAGTGTCGAGGGTGTGAGGATGGAGGTGCCTTCCCACCTTCCCCAGGCAAACGCATCACTCCAATAAACTGGAGTCTATTTCAGTCTGACCTTCTGCTGGCAGCGGGGCCTGTGTCCGTCAATCATGCAATTCAGCGTGGGGAAAAAATTGTTTTATCTGTAATGATATAGCTCAAGCTGCTCAGCGGGGCGGGCTCAGGGCCCCCGCGGGGACTCCGGAAAATTCTAGAAACATCCAGCGTGTAGCTTTAAGCCATGTCCTTTTCGTGTCTGTGAGCACAGCCCAACAGCCCTCTCTGGGTGTTCAGTGCTCACCCCTGTTGGGATCCGGCAGGAACAGAAAGTTCTAGATGCTGCAGCAGCCGGCGTATTGGCAACAATGAGGTCTCCACAATGAGGTTTCCAACCATCCCGGGGTAGGGACATGCGGGGACACTGGAGTTTTGTCTCTGCAACAGCGGCCTGGGCCTGCCTCCATCATCTGAAAATGGGCATTTGAACTTGACCCTTTCTGCCAGCGCCCGCCGGCCACTGGCTGGAAGCCCAGCTTGCTGGGAAGCGACGTAGCTTCGGCTCGCAGCAGGCTGTCCTCCTGGCCCGTCCGAGCCAGCCACGCGGCCACAGCCCCCACCCCCCCGCCCTATCCTGAAGGTGTCAGAATCTGCTCTGCTGTGAATGGTACCCCCACCCCCTCCCGAAATCAATTTAGGCCTGGGGCGGGTTGATTATAAATCAGCTATTTTCATAATTGGTATGTCTTTAATAAATCAAAACTGTTCAACGTCGCCTGGCAAAATGAAGTTGTTCTTTGGATATCATCAATTACCAGGGGAGGAGGGGAGAGAGGGGAAACGGAGGGAGCAGGGAGGATGCGAGAGCCCCTTGTCCTCCGGCCAATCAGCACAGGCCACCAGCTGCCCGGGACTTCCTGGCCCCGGGCCGGATCCTTCCATTAAAGGATTGCTTAAGCAGCATTTTAAATAACAAAAAGGGATATCATTTAATTTTTTTCGCCACGGGCAGATCAATACACTGTCCTTCAGGTGGCCTGACGGATTGCCTTGGCTGGCTTTTCCCCGAGTTAATCCAATCTCCCTGGCTGAGGCTGGGGACCCACCCAGGCTGGGCTGGGCTGGGCTGGGCTGGGCTGGTCTGGGCTGGGCTGTGCTGGCCTGGGCTGTGCTGGTCTGGGCTGGGCTGTCCTGCCCTGTACTAAATTGGACCGGGCTGGGCTGGGCTGGGCTGGGCTGGGTTCCTGATGCAGTGGCTTTTGCTGCTGCAGTGTGGTGCAGCCAGCCAGCCGGACGGCCAGGGTAGAACAAAGGAAGCTTTCTTCAGGGCTGTTCAGGGGTCCTAGCCACTGGGCAGGAGGGGTTTCCACACTCTGAGGGTGGATGGCGAGGTCCAGGGACGAGGCCCCCCCTGTCCCGTAGGGCCCTGCGATAATCTTACCACGATGTCTACAGATCCCAGAGGGGGACACGGAGTCTGGCTGAGGGCAACATGCAAAGGGTGACTGGGAGGACTCCTCTGAACTCTCCCCGCCCCCATCTGTGCTGTTTCATATTTTAATTATTTTCTAATTCAGCCTTGGATGCAGAAAGAGTGTCAGGGCTGGGTCCTGGGCCTACTCCAGCAGCGGCTACGGAGGAGCAGCCGGGAGCGCTCACTCATGGAGGTGGGGGATGTCCCCCTCCAAGCGGGAGACCCGGCAACCCTCTCCATGGGGCAAGGGGACAGAATCAGGGGTGGGGAGAACGCCCTCCGGGGGCGCATGCTGGGCCTGGGGTTCCAGGTCAGGCAGCCAGAGACTGCGACACCATCTCTCTCCCTTGTGCCTTTTCAACTGTTCAAGGTCAAGGCCTTGCTGGTTCCCCAAGGGGCCTGAAGCTTGTGTGTACACCTGCATGGGCGCCTGGACAGGACCAAGGGCTGGAGGTCTCTCCCCATGCCGCCCCCTCCCACCTGCTGCCTTGCAGGGGTGGTGGGACTGGAGCCTGACCCACGCCGGCCACAGACCTCGTGCCTTGGGTTCCAGGGGTGCTTCTATTCGAAAGTCACAGAGAGTTATTCGAAAGGGTGCTTCTATTCGAAAGTTACAGAGAGGAGGAGAGACAGAAAGATCTTCCATCCACTGGTTCACTCCTCCAGCGGCTGCCACGGCCAGAGCTGAGCCGATCCGAAGCCAGGAGCTTTGGGCCGTCCTCCACTGCCTTCCCAGGCCACAAGCAGGGAGCTGGATGGGAAGTGGAGCAGCCGGGATACGAACCAACGTCCCTAGAAGATTCCGGCACGTGCAAGGCAAGGACTTTAGCCACTAGGCTACTTAATTTATTAAAAAAAAATTTTTTTTTAAATTATACGATTCCACAGACTCTGGGATTTCCCTTACCTCCTCCCCACATTCCCAACCCCGGCGTGGAACCGCTCTTGGTTGCTTCACACCCCAACTCGGTTCCAGCCACCTGCCAATCTGTCAGGGGCGGGGCGTGGCCAAGCCGCGGCGGGGCGGGACTTCCGCTCGGAGCAGGTGGAACTTCCTGTTCCTCGTTGGCCGGGCCTGAGCTGCTGCCGACATGGCGGCTGCTCCTCAGGCGGGGACCCCAAGAGCGGTGGGCGCTGCCGGGCGTCTCAGGGCTCGGCCTCGGCCTCGAAAGTCACTCGCTGGGCCCTCTACCAAGGCTCTCCCGGCTGAAAGCGTGAACCTGGGCCTCAGGCCGTGGTCAGTCGCCTCAGAAAAGGCCATATGTCCGGGCTGGGGGTGAAGGGAGGGGAAGTGAGGTAAACTGAGGCAGCCACCGGTGCCACCCAGACTTGGACTCCATCCCAGACTTGGAGCCCCAATCGCGGGTCGGAAGTCAGTATCCCCACATTCACCCCAAAAATCCAAGCCAGCTTCTAAGAGGGTGTTGGGGGACCCAGCCCTGGTCACCAGCTTCCCTGGGGGTCCTGCGGGTTTTGGGGACGCTGTTTCCGCTGACACCCATGGGTGCCCCAGATGGCACCCTCTGGTCTGACGGGGGGGAGACCAGAACCCCAGACCTACCGCTCAGAATCCTGGCTCTCCCCCATTCTCCCCGTGGGAAAGCAGGGGTCACACAGGGGGCTATTGGGGGAGTCGCCAACTTACTGATTTCTTGTCTTTAGGAACACCACTGCTGGGTGGGTGGTACCCCATATGGGCACGTGGTCCGCCCCTGCCCCGCCTCAGCTGCAGGATGGACGTGGAGGAGGAGCTCGTGGTAAGAGACTAAATTTGCATCTTGAAGACCCCTTGAGAAGGCTGGATCAACCCTTTCCTGAAACCCACCTGCTCCCCGATTCAATGCAAAATTGACCCTGCCTTGTAACCCTGCAAACACCCCTCCCCTGGGCGCTCCGTGGACTTTTCTCTGCTTCCTCCCTGGCTGGGACGGACAAGGGCCTGGGTTTAAGCCGGCCGGCTGGGATCCCCCAGTTCCCCTGCGTCCCCCCCCTGTCACCCCCAGGCCCGCGGCTGCTGCCGGCTAGCAGAGCTGTCATCTCGGCGGGGGAGCCTGGGAGAATGGCCGGTGATTGTCACTGCAGCCCTGTTCTAATTTCCCAGAATGGGTTCTGAGCGGCTAATGTGGCCCCTGCTGGGCGGAAGATGGAGCTCCTGGCAGGGGCTTCAACCCTGGGAAAGCTGGGGCGGCTCCTACAGGCTCAGGAGAGGGGTGGGCCTGGGTGGGGTGGGAGAGACCCCCCCCATCCATCCTGGAGCCCCCTGTGGTTGCTGCGAGCTTGCCATAGAGATGGTCGCCTTGGGGGTTCCTGGGGCAGGCTTGTGGGTGCAGCCGCTAAGAGACTCCCCGACTCCCTCTGGGGTCAGAACTCCTCTCTGGGTGGAGGTCAGTGTTTGTTGAGTGAATAATAGATGACCTTCTGGGGACCACAGATCCTGGCCGCGACGGGAGGCTGGGGCCTGTCGTGGCTTCTGAATGCTGGGGTGTCAGAGGGGCTCACGCCCATGGCTCCATCTCCCTCCCTCCTTCCTCTGGCCCAGCCACACACCTGCTGTCTGTCCGCGCTCCTCCCTCACCCTCCCCTCCCCGTACCTGCAGGATCAGCTACAGAGATCACCCCCTCCGGGAGCCGCTCTGGGATCACCCCTGGATCTCTCAGCGTTGTCCTCCTCTTCCGTGTGTGGGTCCTTGAAGGATCGTTGTCCTAGCTGTGCGGGCCCGAGCGTCTGTTGTGTGTGTGGCTTTGTTTCCTGGGCCCTGCCCCATCGCTGGGCCTCCAGCTGCTTGACAACCAGGCTGGTCACACCTGTTCTGTTGGTGGAGGGATGGACGAAGCCCCCCCGCCCCTTGCCGGCTCCCCCCAGTGCCTTGAATGGTAATTTCAGAAGGAATCTCATTACTGTCTGCGGCGGCCACTGGGACACCTGCTTTCCATAGAGAAAGGTTTGGGTTCGAATCTCCAAGGGCTGGGAGAACCTGGCTGAAGGTAGCTTTGGAGGGGCAGGACCCAGGTCCCCCCACTACTCCCAGAATCCCACCTCCCACCTGCCTGAGCTCATAAGGCCTAAAGAGCTGCTTAACACAGCACAGAGAGGTCAATCAGCTTCCTCAGCGCGCACAGCACGCTGTGGGGGCGACAGAGGCTGTCCCCAGCCCGGCCTCTCCACCTCCGCCCACCCCATGTCTGCCTCTTTTCCTGTCCAAGCTCCCTGGGTGGGACAGCAGGCTTGGGCGCAGGGACCTGCCAACTAAAACAGGAGGTTCCCTGTCTTAGGATCTCACCTTTGTGAGAGCTGGAATCCCGTGGCCAGGGCCCTAGCATTCCCCCTTCTCCGGCCCTCCCTCGGCCCACAGCCCCAGCAGGAAGCGATTAGCGGACGCTGGAGACAGACAAAGGTGCTGCCTCCGCGGCTGGGCTGCGGGGATTTCTGTTTTTTCGGTTTTGCAGCTCAGGAATCGAGGTACAAAGGCGGCCGCCTGCACCTGCTCCCCTTTCTGGGCGCCCACAATGGGGACGCTAAGCTTCAGCCAGACCCGCCTGCTCGGTTGCCCTCCTCTGCCACCCCTACTCAACAACACCCAGGGACTGGCACCGACAGGCTGGGGGTGGGGAGAGCAGTTCGCTAGGGCTGTGAGGATGGAGTCGGACTCGCAGGGCTGCAGGCCGAGCTAAAAGCTGCGTGCTCGCACCGGCGGAGCTGCACCCGGTCCGCCCAGCGTCCGGAGCAGCGGGGGCGGGGTGGGGCGGGGAGCTGGACCCGGCGCGGCTGGGGGTCTGGGGATGATGGTTTTGCTGCCTTTAGGCTTTTTCCTTTCTCCCCATGTTTAAGTGAACTCTCTGCTGGTTGACTCCCCGAAAGCCTGCAGCAGGCAGGGCTGGGTCAGGCCTGAGCCAGGAGCCCAGAACTCCGTCCAGATCCTGCACGAGGCTGGAAGGGACCCCCGGGACTTGAGTACTGCCGCCACCTCCCAGCTGCCTTGGCAGGGAACTGCTGGGAAAGTGGGCAGCCGTGGACGGTTGAGCTAGGCATAAATTTGGGGGGGGATGGGCCTGGCGCCGTAGTCTAGCGGCTAAAGTCCTCACCTTGAACGCCCCAGCATCCCATATGGGCGCTGATTCTAATCCCAGCGGCCCCGCTTCCCATCCAGCTCCCTGCCTGTGGCCTGGGAAAGCAGTGGAGGACGGCCCAAAGCCTTGGGACCCTGCACCCGCATGGGAGACCTGGAAGAGGCTCCTGGCTCTTGGCTGCTGATCAGCTCAGCTCCAGTCGTTGCGGCCATTTGGGGAGTGACCAGTTGATGGAATATCTTTCCCTTTGTCTCCCATATAGGATCCTGGCACATGCAAGGCTAGGACTTTAGCTGCCACGCTACCATACTGGGCCCTAAAAATAAAGCTTTTTAAATTAAAGATTTTTTTTCTTTCACTTATGTATTTTTATTGAAAGGCAGCTATAGAGAGAGGGGGAGAGACAGAGAGGAAGATCTTCTGTCTGATGGTCCCGTAATGGCTGCGGTAGCTGCAGCTTGTCTGACGTGAAGCCAGGCACTCCGTCCGGGTCTCCTACGTGGGCCTGGGCACCTGGGCCTCCGGTGCCGCTTCCCCTGGAACGGCAGGAGTCAGCCCCGCGGCCAGCAGAGGGCGCCAGTGAGCAGCAGAGGCAGATTCTCCACCCACAACCCTCCATGGCTCCCATCTGCCTCCCTGAGGTTGGCGGGTCAAAACCCACGACCTCCCTGTGGCCCAGGCCACCCGGCACCAGCCACTCCATCCTCCTCCCTTTTGCTCGGTGGCTTCATCCCGCCTCGGGGCGGAGGGGCGTGGTGGTGCTGGGGGCCTTTGCACGGGCCCCACCCCCTCCCAAGCCTCCTCTCCCTCTGCATCACTGGGTGTCTGTTTTCCGGTCTCCCTGGACCCTAATTACCCCAGCCTGTCCTGTCCCACGCTCCGGGGAGAAGCGCCTTGCTCAAGCCTGGGACTGCCTGAACGGTGCTCCCCAGCTGGGTTTCTGGATGGGCACTGCCTGCCGCCAGCCGGCCTGTGCGACCTTGTCCTCAGCCTGGCCTGTCCCCAGCGCGCCCTGCCTCCTCCCTCCCTCCCTCCCCTCCCCTAGGAGCTCCGAAATGTGCCCGGCGCACAGATGCCAGACGGGAAAATTAATTGGGCCTTGCTGGGGCCCGCGCGTCCTGGTCTCCGTCAATAACGGCCGTAAAGCGGGATTTATGCGGCGCTGCTGGCTCCCGCTGCAGCCCCGGGAGGAGGGGCGGCATTCTGGAAAAGTCAGCTGCGTGCCCCTGGGGGCTCTGACGGGGTCGGTGGGGCTGGCGGGCCTCTCCTCCTCCTGGCTGCTTACCGCCCCCTCCTGCCGGCTGGGTGTGCGGGAGAGGCAGTGCCTGGTCCCTCTGCTTGAGCTCTCTGGCATCCTCCCTTTGCTAGGCCCCACCACAGTGCTTAGTAAACAGCAGTCTTTGAATGGAGGGACACAGAGAGAGAGAGAGAGAGAGAGAGAGAGAGAAATTTCTCATCTACTGGTTCGCTCCTGCTGTGCCTGTAACAGCCAGGCCAAAGCCGGGCGCTAGGATGTGTGCCCGGGTCTCCTGTGTGGGTGGCAGGGGCCCAGCATGCGTTGTCGCTGCTGGCTGGTTGCTTTCCAGGCTGTGTGTGAACAGCGAGCCAGGGTCAGGAGCAGGGGCCAGGACTCGAACCTGGGCTTTGCTGCTCAGTCCAGCGGCTCCTGGAAATGTTGGTGTTTTGAGTGGAAGTCATTTGTGGGTCCCTTTCAGCTCACAGGGGATCCCTGGCACAGAGGGGTGAAGCACCTGACTTGAGTTTGCACAGCAGGCGCGAGACAGGACTGGGCTGGGAGCCTGCGCCCCTAGGTGTGTCCGACACCCACCAGGTCACCATCCCTGTGGTGCTGAATGAGGGATTTGATTGCCTGCAGGCAGGGAACGTCCCCGCCTTCCCACCCTGGGTGAGCCGCCCTCCAGTTGGGGGTGCAGAGATGGTGCAGGGCCTGGGTTTGCTGTGTGACCTTGGGGAGGTGTGTTTCCCTTTCTGGGCTCCTATGCTAGGCATGGGGTTGTGCAGGCACAAACACGCAGGGGCCTCCTACTGTGGCTTGGCGACGGCCCTCACCTCTGAGGACGGGGATGGGGAGGAGGAAGGTGAGAGCAAGTGAGAGATAATGAGGCAGCCACCGAGGCTTCTGCCCAGAGTCCTCCCCACAAGTGCCCAGCCACATCCCCCATCCATCTCTTCCGCAAGCGCCGTGGGGCTGGTTTTGATGGGGGAACTGGAGGGATTACATTTTGCCAAGGGTGTCAGCTGGGGAGAAAATATTTCCCCCATCGTTTCTGGGTTGAGGTTGATGTGCCGGAGCCCAGCGTCAGTGGAGGGGTGGGTGTGGGGGAGGAACCACACCCCAGGGGCCCTGGCCATGCCCTGCACCCACCTCCACCCCCCCTCACCCCTGCCTTCCCTGCCTCTCCCTCCAGCCCCTCTCTCTGCTCCCTGAGTCCTGGGGGCAGGACAGTGTGGCACATGTGTGGGGCTGCAGGGACACCCCTGTAGGTGGAGCAGGTGTCTGCAGTGGTTTCATTCCACTTCAGCGCCCCTAAAAGCTGGTGCCTGGGAGGGCAGGGCCTCCAGAAAGCACTTCAGGTCCCTCAGGCTTGGGTCATTGTAGGACTTACTTGCAGTTTGAAGTTTGGGTCCCTCCCTCGGGTACTTCCAAAAGAACACAGGAGGGAGAGAGGGGAGACCACACAGCCACGACAGCAAGATGTTGTGGGAGAAGATTCTAGAAGCATTTGTGGCAGAGGCCAGTGGTAAACAAACACACCCCCCCCCCCCAAGGATCAGGGATGTTTGTTTAGCTTCACAGGAACACAAACTGCCAGCGACTGCTGCCCCAGGGCCTTTGCGCTGAACTCTAAACCTCTTTACCTGTCACTCAGAGAACTCATCTGCCTGGAAAAGGCTTCCAGGCCCCTGGGCACAGCTGGCCCTTCATTCTACCTGCCAGGAGGAGGCAGCTCCAGCTGCTGCCTTGGGTGCTGCCCCTCAACCAACCCTGCCTGCGGCAGCCACTGCAAAGCAGCTATGAGCTCCTGCTCCCCAGCCTAGCAGCCTAGCATTTTGTATGACAGCCACTGGAGGGCACCCATGAGCTCCTGCCTCCCCGGCCCAGGCCCCCTCACCTCCCCCTGGGGTCTGACACATCTGCCTCCATGCTGCTTCTGCCCCAGGGCCTTGGCACAGCTACATCTCACAGTCTCCCCCCAGATGGCTACAGACCCCCCCACCCCACCCCGCCCCGCCCCAGGCATCTGCACAGATGTTCCCAGCTTGATGAGGCCTCCCTGCCCCTGCCCACCATACCCACGCCTGCCCCATGCTCTTCTTGCTCCTGCCCGCCATGCCCACGCCTGCCCCGTGCTCCTCTTGCCCAATCTGCAGCACTCCCTGACCATGCATGGCCCATCATCCACACTGGCACACCTTCAGTCATGGCTACACCTGCAGCCCCTGGCCCGGGGCCTGGCGCCTAGAGGGACCCTGACAGGTGCCTCTGTGGCTCTCTGTTTGCTTCCCTCCCTGGGTCTTCAATTTCACGGGGCTTGCAGCAGCCCCCACGTCTGCAGAGGCACCCGGCCAGTGGGGCTTGGGCGAGCTGTGGGGGGCCTGGCTCACATACTCCAGGCTGCGGCCACCGGCCCCTGCTCAGAGCCAGCAAGGGCTGTGCCAGCGCCGCAGGGCCTAGGCTCGGGGCCAAGACGCTGTCACAGTTGGCAAATGGCGGGCGGGTAGTGCCTTGGGCAGACAGCGACGTGACCGGCCAGAGCTGGGGCTGGCGGCCTGCGGGCCCTCCCTGTCCTGCTCTGGGACTCAGCGACCCCAGCAGCCAGTTGGCACCGGGAGGCAGGGGACCCTGGAGGCTTCCCCAAGTGTCACCCCAGCCTTGGTCCTGGGCCTGCGCATATGAAGTGCAGTGGGGGAAGAACTGGAAGTGAGGAGGGGCCCAGGGGCGGACCCTCCCGCAGCTGCCGGGCAGGGCCTGGTGCTGGCTGACATTGGTCAAGTGCTCCCTGTCTATCCAGGCCCACAAGGAGGGCCGTGCCGGGCTCCAGGTCTCTCTGGCCTCCGCTTCCTGGGTGGTGGGGTTGCTGGGAGTGCAGAGGGCAGGGGTAGGGGGTCGCCAGGACACCTGCTACACCCCTGTCGGAAGCCCCAAGGTCAGGGTCTGGATGCCGTGCGCTTGGGGCGGGGCCTGGGGCAGCTTTGTGGGAGGAGCCTACACTTTCTCAGCCTGGGCCCTTGGCGAGGCTGGAGTGGCGGGGCGGAGGATGAGGCGTGGGGGCGAGTTGCTGATCCTCCCAGTGGACCACCCAAGCCCTAGGCAGTGACGTAGCAGGTGGCACGCAGCAGCGTGTGCTGCCCTGGGGCAAACTGCATGGTACGCCCCTGGCATGGCTTAGGAGCTGGCCATGGATGTGTGCTGGGCGGGCGCCAGAGCACATTGGGGTCAGGCCTCAAGTGCTGGTTCGAGTCCCGGCTGCTCCACTTGTGTCCCAGCTCCCTGCTTGTGGCCTGGGAAGCAGCAGAGAAGGACCAAAATGCTTGGGCCTCTGCACCCTCGTGGGAGACAGGGTGGAGCTCCTGGCTCCTGGCTTAGGATCGGCTCAGCTGTGGTCAGCGTGGCCATTTGGGGAGTGAGCCAGCAGGTGGAAGATCTTCCTCTTTGTCTCTCCTCCTCTCTGTATATCTGACTTTCCAATAATCTAAAAAAAAAATTGAGTGTTTACAAATAATACGTCACTCGAATTTGACTATTTTAAAAAAATGACTTATTTTTATTGTAAAGTCAGATACACAGAGAAGAGGAGAGACAGAAAGGAAGATCTTCCATCCAATGATTCACTCCCCAGGAGGCCGCAATGGCCGGATTTGAGCCGATCTGAAGGCAGGAGCCTCTTCCGGGTCTCCCACGCGCGTGCAGTGTTTCAAGGCTTCGGGCCGTCCTCCACTGCTTTCCCAGGCCGCAGGCAGGGAGCTGGATGGGAAACAGGGCAGCTGGGATTAGAACCGACGCCCCTATGGGATCCCGGGCATTCAAGGCGAGGACTTTAACCGCTATCCCAGGGAGCTGGATGGGAAGTAGGGGCAGCCCAGATATGA